TGGTGAAATACTGTTTGTCAAAGTGGGTATAGCAAAAACAACAAAAATATAAAACACACAAGTTTAATATGAAAATAAATAGTTAGGAATGTTAGGATCAGGAATTCAATATTTTTGTACCTACCCACTACACCCACTACATACAATGCCAAAATAACTATGGGGGCTCCGCCCCCATAACAAATTCATTACGGGGGCTCAAGCCCCCATTGCCCCCATTACCCAATTGCTTCAAAAATCTTCGAAAATAATGAAATTTTTGATATTGGCCTGTAGTTGAGAATGTTACTTGTATCTCCGCTTTTGAAAATAGGGGTTACATGACTTGTACGACTTGCGTACTCTACCGGTCTTCCGTCGGGTCCCTCCCCCTGGAGCAAACATGCACCAATAGCATAGGCACTGGCATCAGTCCTAATAATGTATGGCTAAGAAGGATCGGCTTGACGCAGTAGTCAGGAAAACTTTGAGTTCCTCGAACGATTCTTGTGCCAAATCCCACGACCACGAAACATTCTTCCTTGTGAAGTTACTTAGCGGTCTGGAGACATTGGCAAAGTTTGGAATGAATCTACGAAACCATGAACAATTCTGAAGAAAACTGAGAACTTGTTTCACGTTCTTGGGTGCGGCAAGATGGGCGATAGCGGCAACCTTTACCGGTTCGGCTTTGATACCATCTCGTCCAATAAGATGACCAACATATTTAACTTCTGAAGTACAGAAAGTGCATTTCTTCTGGTTCACCTTCAACTTGTAAATGCGTAGACGGTTGAAAACATCACTCAAGTCTTTGATGTGTTGTTAAAAAGTCGTGGATAAAATTATTAAGTCATCAAGGTATCCTAATATGTGAATATGCTGAAAAGTTGCTGGAGTTGTGGATAGACCAAAAGGCATCGTCATATCGATAAAGTCCAAATGGCGTGACAAAGGCGGTTTTATCACGATTTTCTTCTCTGACAGGTACTTGATGATAACCATTCTTCCAGGTCTAAGGTGGTTATGTAGTTAGTCATCATTGGAATAGTATATCTTCTTAGGTATATTGAGCACTATATCGAATTGTGATATGAAATCAACACCAAGTAAAGTCCTACTATCTTTGTAGTCTGGAACAGCAATCATTTGCGGTTTTCGTTGTTTATTCATAACTTCGATGGAACACTGGTACATCTTTGCTTCCACTTCTCGGGGTATACCATCAGCAAATACCAGTTTTATTGGAGCAGTTTTGAATAGATGCCGAATAGCATCTAAGTGGCTCAACAACTTTGACCCTGCAATACTGCATCTTGCTCCGGAATTCACAAAAGCAAAACCTGATTTACTTTGAATGATGATAGGTATCATGGGGTCTTGAAGGCGGACCATCAAATGTTGATAATAAACTGGAAGGATCATCGAGATCAGCAACGAGCATTTCGACAGATGAAATGGTTATTGGTGCAGGTTTACATTGCGGACAATTGGAATGAATATATCCCGGATTACCGCAACCATAACATGTTACATTTGTGGAGGACGGGTTACTGGATCGGACTGTTAGGGCAGAAGTAGTGTACAAGGCTTCTCCAGCAGACTTGGCTTTAAATTTTCTGCAAACAGCTTGAACATGTCCATATGCTTTGCAAAATGCAAACCGGTCTTTGGTCTTTTCCGCAGCGGACGTGGAAGTCACTTTTACGTTGGATTCATCAAGTCTGGTTTCGATTGTTCTGCATTTGTCGATCATCTCCGAAAAGTTCTGGAAACTATGTCGAGGAAGTTTTTCCCTGATTTTATGGTGAAGGAGTCCATAAGCCATTTTTAACTTGTGCTCCTCTGGCAAGGGCGTGATTGTTGTCAACTTTGAAAGCAGTGCACGGGCTTGATTCACGAAAAGATCCGTTGGTTCCGTACTGCCTTGTTCTCGAGAAAATAGTTCTCTATAAATCTGATGTGCTGGTTTGTTAAAGCCAAAAGCATGACGTAGCGCATCTAAAACTTCAGTCCATGAGATGTTTGGCTTTTTGGTGCCTTGCCACCATACTGCAGCACTGCCATCCAGTAGCATGGGTAAACCTTTTACAGCGTTATCATCACTGATGTTCAGACAGTCTTTGTAAATAGTGATGGTATCAATAAAAGCTTCAGCATCTTCGTCTGGCTTTCCAGAAAACCTTGAGCCGCATTTCCTGACAAACAGGCGACTGTAATGTAGGAACCCTTTCAACAAACTTGGATGGACACACTGGAAACTGTAATGTGGGTACAAAATGGAGGACAGACTTGGACACACAGGAAACTGTAATGTCAGCACAAAAATGGAGGACAAACTTGAACACACAGGAAACTGTAATGTCAGTTTGTGTGGAATATTGCAGAAATTGTGGGTACAATATCCGAATGTGGCAAAACTTACACAAATTCAGTCAATTAATGCACATTTATGTACTGATAATGTCTCGTGTTCTAAAGTTCATTGATCTACAGTCACAAAATTAGTCCAGAAAGTCATTGGGGTGATGGTTCACTACAGAACCCCAGGGGCCCAGGCCCCACGTTGGGCGCCAAATATGTAGCGGGTATCGAAGGAAACTCCAACACTATGCACTACACATGCTTTTTAATGTTTTTAACATCCATTATATCAATTTTTATGTTACCTAAGTTGACTCACACAAAATGGAAGCCCACAATTAGATAGAAAAAAATTAAAATATAATATTTATATTTCAAGAATAGATAAGATTTATCAGGTAAAAACTTAACAATGATATGATAATATGCATTGATAGCAAAATATATTGAAAAATCTATGAGGGAGAATCTAAAAATCCCTACTAACATTTTTCGCAGCTCAAGGTTTTATTATGAGGTAAGGAATATTTATAAGGGGTTTATAAGAAACCTTTATAATGGTTTTTATAGTTTTATAAGAAAACTATTGGTGTTAACAAGTTTTGTAAGACGTCCAATAAATACCAAAATACTTTTAAGTTTTATAATTTGGTTCGAAAGCGTTTCCGTTACTTTATCTATAAAACCTTTGGTGTTGGGTACTTTGGTTTTTTCAAAAAGGTTTTCTAGCGTTCTTAAAAACCTTATTATAAAACTTTGACTCTTGGGGTTTTATAGCTTACTCCGTAAAACTCTTATAAATCTCGAAGCAGCTAATAAATATTCTAGAGCAATTATTAAACCTGAAGAACGTTATAAAACTTATAGGCCCATTAACAACTTTTTTATGTAGGAGAGGCCGCTAAGTTTTTGAGGTTATGATGTTTATTAATAATTATTGTTTTCCTAAATATGAAAATATGTCACAAGCTATAAGAAAGAATGGTAAAAATTGAATACAGTAGCAGCTTTTATAGAAAGTGTGCTGAAACCCGTGACAATATTTTGCGAAGTGGACCAGGCGATAAATATTCCAAAACTCCAAATAATCTAAAAGAAATACACCAAAAATTTGGACTTTCATCACGACAATATTATATTGGCACAGAATAGAAGCATATTACAACAATCCGATTTAAGACAATGATCTGTTTTCTCAAATATAAGTTCAATAATTAAAGGCCCTTGGCCCTTTTATCTAATAAACAATAACTGAAAGTGAAGGTATGATTGCATGTTTGACATTTGACAATTTGTCATTTGCGCACTAATAGTTTTCAATGGGTTTTTCCAGTTTTATACCGGTTACGAAGGCTTTTGTGCATACCTTTGTGGTAACGTATAAACCTATAGATATCACAAAATCACCTTAGGTTTTATTGCAACAGCAATATTTCCATAAGACACCTAGGTTAGTATTATAAAAGTTTCCAAGGTGTTTAATATTACTTGAAGGCCCATATAAAACTATAGGTTTTTAAAAAGCAAACCTGGCGAACATGGCGTCCTTTTATATGGTGGCCATTTTTATGTTTTTTTGAATTGACATAAATATCTACATAAAGAAGATAGAATATCGCATTTTACGCAATATTACTGAGCTTGAAGACATATTTCTTCAAATATATGCCATCAATAAATGTTCTGAATTTCAACTGCAAAAAAAAATTCATGAGGCAATAGTTTTAATTTCCAGGTTTTTGCTAAAAATAAGTTTTAAAGTGCTTAAAACGAGGGCGCTTCAGTTTTAGGAAGGGTAAAACATAAAATTATTCGATAAATTTTTCGTTGCAAATAAAATTAAGTCGTCATGGGAAAATTCGGAGTTCAATATTTAGTGTATAAAACATTTCCATAATAATAACAAAGCAAGAATCCATTGCTGTCAACTTCAAAGTGAAAACAAAATATTAATGACAAAGACTCGACTCGAAATAAAATATATTTTGAACAAATGATATGGAAAGAGATGAAACGAAAAGGGGGCGTTTTTTGTTTGGTGTTTATGAAGACTCTTTAGGTTTTATATCGGTAACGAAAAGTTTTTCCTTGCCATTATAAAACTTATTTATAGTTTATAAAGGTAACGACAACCTCTCAGTTCCAAATAAATGGGGAGTAAAAGTTTTATATGGTGCAAAAATTTGGTCACCGTTACCTTTATAGGATTCTCCATTTAAGTGCTATAAGCGTTTTATAAGAGTAACAAACACGTTTCGCGAACAATTGATAGGTTCTCAGGATTTATCAAATAGGTAATCGAAACGTAACCATTACCAATATAAAACAAAAAATGTTAGTTGGGATGTAAAGCAAAAATTATCAAAGATAGAAATGACTTGCCTGCTAAACTACTGTCGAGAAAAGAGAACGTTTTAGAAACCAAACCCCACAGGAAAACAATCCTGTGTTTTTTATACTTAACTGCATTTTAACCAGTTCAACCAATTAGAAGAGTACATCCAAAAGATCATATTCACTTTACAATGAATTCACAATGAAAAACCACGTGGAATAAAAGAGAATCACTTAAAATAAGACTTTCATTTGAGTTTACACCTTCAAAATAACAGAATTGAGAAAACTTATTGATTTTTCTTTCTTCTTTTTTTTTCCAGAGTAGACTCAACTGCAGTCCATTTTCCATGTCTCCTAGACCAAAGGCCTTTGCCAGTCCATCTGGCATTCAGAGGCATTTCCGTTTCGGTCGGTGGACGTCCCATTTTGGAAGACGTCGACGGATTGGTGCGTCCCGGCCAAGTTTTAGCTGTGATGGGACCTAGTGGATGTGGTAAGAACTTCTTAATTAAAAAGTTTTGATGGATAAAGCTTAAATTTTTAATCGAATTATAATAGTTGTTGGAAGTTTTTCAATTTGTCTTTTGCTGATTAGCTTTTTTTTAGGTAAAACTACCCTTTTGAACAGCCTCAGTGGTAGACTCAAGCTAGATTCCGGTCAAATTTATTTCAACAGAGATCCCCTATGCAAACGATGGAAACGTAAAATATGTTATGTTCTTCAACAAGACATATTTTTTCCAGATCTAACTTTAAGGTAAGTGTAGGAACTTATAATTTCTTACCTCAATTACAATTTTTTTTTCTATAGACAAACCTTAGAATACCAAGCAAGACTGAGATTATCGGACGTAATGTCGCACGCACAAAAAATGCAATACGTCGATCATATCATAGATGTTTTAGAATTAAATAATTGTCAAGACACAATCATCGGGGACTATCTCAAAAGGGGTTTGAGCGGGGGCGAAAAGAAAAGAGCAAATATTGCCTGCGAATTATTGACAAATCCATCGCTGATGCTTTTGGATGTAAGTGGAAATGACGTTAATTAACTTGTCAGAAACAAATAAAATTGTTATTGATTTTTTTTATATAGGAACCAACGTCAGGTTTGGATTCACACGCAGCTCACAGTCTAATGATGACATTGAAACGATATGCAGTTTCTGAAGGAAAAACTGTAGTGATAACGTTACACCAGCCTTCGTCACAGATCTTCCATTTATGTGATAAGCTCCTGCTGCTTTGCAATGGCAGGACTGCTTATTTCGGTGACACCTGTAAAGTAGTGGATTTTTTCAGCAGCGTTGGACTTAACATTATGCCTCACTACAATCCAGCCGATTTCATTTGTAAATACCTTATGACAAAATAATATGGAAAAATATTAAATTATTTTTAATTTCAGTGGAACAAATCAAAGGACCTCAGGATGTACGACAGAAAATTATACTAGCGGCCGAGGAAGCGAGAAAAAACAAAGACTACCCCATAGAATTAAGATGTCACGACGTTTCGTTTATTACGGAAAAGTACGACCATAAAATTTTGCCACCATCACATGGACCATATCCTAGTTTAGAACGTAAGTTGATTATTACATTTACTGAACTTTTCGGCCAATATATTCTCAGCATTCTATTGAGGAATTGTTCTCCTCTAATGTTTGGATATTGGTTTCCTCCAGATTCTCAATAGCGAACTTTATTTTGACCCACTTGTTTCCAGTGTGATCTTGCAGATAGTTTGGGATCATCATTCCATCGTCTTTGGTTCTGAGTTCTATCTCCGATATTTCTGTGTTGAAAGGTTGTTGTTTATAAGTGTCCAAGTCTGCTAGTATTATTCTTCATGCGATTTCCGCCGTTTGACAGTTTTGGTTTCAATATCTCTCTTAGGTAGATGTATTTGATTATTTTGTCTAAAGAGAAAGTTTTGAATGGGTTACCCAGGATTGAAGATGATATGGTCAACCAAATTTCTCAGTATGTATATTCCAGTTCGATAAATCTTCATAGTGCATATCACCAGAAACCAATTCTAAAGCATGACCGTATATACACTGCCTTTGAAGCATGTGGAAATCTATACCAATTCACTCGAATTCCTTTTGGAGTGACTTATGGCATTGCTTCTTTTCAGAGAAATATGGATAACATTATCAAACAAGAACATTTAGAAGACACATATGCATTTCTTGACGACGTAACCATCTGTGGTAGAAATAATTTCAAGGCATGTTTACCCATTATTCCAAATTCATTTATAAGTTTTCTGAGAAAATACATCTACTGATTCGAGTTAAAAAGTTTCCATTGTCTGCTTGTGAAGCTGCTGCATTTGAGCAGTTGAAGACCTGATATACAAAACGATGTTGTTATTTCCATTGACGATGAAGCCACTTTTACTGTTGAAACTGATGCATCGGAATATGCTATTGCTGCTCAACGTATACAGTCTGGAAAACCAGTGGTATTTTTCTCTAGAACATTAACGAAATCGGAACAACGTAGAAAAAGAAGCCTATGCTATAGTGGAAGAACTTCGTAAATGGAGACATTTTCTGATCGGACGTTACTTTAAGCTCGTAACTGATCAGAAATCGGTCGCCCCATAGAATTAAGATGTGATTCACTGAATAATTCTAAAATCAAAATTGAAAAAATAATGCGGTGGCGTCTGGAACTATCATCTTATGATATCATATACAGATCTGGAAATCAAAATAGCGTGGCAGATACATTTTCAAGAATATCTTCTGCAATTTCACCTTCTTCTAGTGACAAAACATTGTATAATCTACATAATTCTCTCTGTCATCCTGGTATAAAGGACTGTACCACTAAGTCCGATGTAGGATTTAGGAATCTACCTTTCTCACTAGATGATATCAAGAGAATTTCAGCCACCTGTCCCGTTTGTGCTGAGATCAAACCAAGGTTTCATAGAAATCAAGGGACCATCATAAAAGCTACTGCCCCTTTTGAAAGAATAAATGTAGATTTTAAAGGTCCATTGCCATCTGAGAACCAAAACCGCTATATTTTGACTATTGTGGATGAATTTTCTAAATTCCCATTTGGCTTTGTTTGTCTTGACATGACCTCATCAACTATTATAAATTGCTTAACTCAACTTTTTTCTGTTTTTGAAACACCATCGTACCTGCGTAGTGGTAGAGGGACATCATTTATGTCTAAATAACTGAAAACATTCTTAACACAACATGGGATTGCAACTAGTCGCACTACTCCTTATAACCCGCAAGGAAACGGGCAGTGTGAACGGGATAATGGTTTTATATGGAAAACTATTCAGTTAGCTCTAAAATCAAGAAACATGGATATAAGACATTGGCACCAGTTACTGGTCGATCGACTCTTAACATTCAATAAGGTCTTTGTTATGTACAGCAAAAACTTGTTCACTGCATGGAAGAATGTTCTATCATCCTCGAAGATCTACAAATGGTTCTTCAATTCCAACCTGGTTGAGTATTCCTGGTTTAGTCTTCCTAAAAAAACATGTTAGACGAAGCAAGTATCGTGGAAGAAGTGCAACTCCTAGAAGCTAACTCTGATTATGCTCATATAAGATTAGCTAGTGGTAAAGAAAGAACTGTGTCAACACGCCACTTTGCGCCAAGAGAAGATTCTACTCTGCATCAAGAAACGTCGAATGAAGATATGAATGTAGAATGTAGAACATATAGAAACGACCCTAATGATCAAAACAACGACCAATGAAGTGAACCAGATCCCATTCAACAACTCGATTACAAAGATTCTGATGCTGGAAATCTTGATGGGATACCTGTAACACCATTAAGGAATCTAGGAGATAAAGTTGTAGAAATTATAACGGATCGTAATATTCTGAGTTCATTAAGGCCTGTATTCTAGAGATATTTTTTCCATGTATCTTTCCAATCTAGTTCCTAGAATAAATACATCCTCCACTGACAAGTTTCCATTAAACAGTTTCATATGAAAGTCCAAAATACAAAATACTTTTCTTTTTCAGAAGATGCATTAAACCAAATGGAACCCGACGTGAGACGATTGTGGTTGGATACGCACTCGCACGCCTCCTCGTCGGTCAGTTCCGATACCAACGACGCAGACTGTTACTTTTCCTGGCCCACAAGCTTCTGGACGCAATTCAAAGTGTTGGCGCAACGGAATTTCCAGGAAGCAAGGCCGAGGATGTTGTCGAAATTGAATTGGGTAAGAATTTTTCGTCTCATTACGTGTGTAATTGTAATGAAATTGTTTTGTTTTAGGTTCAAACTATTGGTTTGGGTATTTTGGCGGGTCTCTTATGGTTTCAGCTTGAAAGGAGAGAAGAGGCCTTGCACGATATCCAAGGATGGATGTTTTTTTCGACGACATATTGGATGTTGTTTGCTCTATTTGGAGCTTTAAGTTCATGTAAGAGCTCTTGTTTCATTAGTATTTTAAGTTAAAAATAAAGGACTGCAAGAAAACATTGCACAAAATTTCTTAAATTTTCCCAGTAACTGTCTCAATGCTGTTGATACTGAGAGAAGTCACGAAATTATTCCTGGCATTAAAAACAACAACAATTTTTTAGTTTTGCCTAAATTTGACTTTACCAATGGATTGAGCGGGTCTAAACTCTGGAAAATTTTCAAAATCTTGACATGGTCATGAACAATTACCCATATTTTTGTTAAATTTTGAGCAAATTGAAATAAATTATATACTATTAGAAAGAACATTAAATTCTTTATAAATCTGTGGAAAATTGAGTATAGTAACTCAAATAGTTTTTGAGCAATTCAGCCTCAAAGTTGATTTTTTTTAGTCTGAATTTTGTCAAAAACTCGATTTTTTTATTTTTCAGTTTTGCTCAATTTTGACTTTACCAATCGATAAAGTGGGTCAAAATTAGTGGAAAACAACCCTGATATCATTTCAAAATGGCCATTTTAAGCAGAAACAAAAAGAAAATCTTATTTTTGGCTCTGGAGAATTTTCAAAATCTTGACAAGGTCATGAACAATTGCCCATATCTTTGTTAAATTTTGAGCAAATTGAAATAAATTATATACTATTGGAAAAAGCATTAAATTCTCTATAATTAATGGAAAATTGAGTATAGTAACTCGAATAGTTTTTGAGCAATTCAGCCTCAAAGTTGACTTTTAGTCCGAATTTTGTCAAAAACTTCAAACTCAATTTGCTCAAAAACTATAAACCTAAGAATATTGCTGATTATAGGCCATTTAGAGCTTAATAAGAGCTACGAATGCTGAAAATGCAATTTGCTCAACAGTTACTGAGCAATGGAGGTTTGAATATTTTGAAAACAGAACTCAGTTTTGCTCAATTTTGATTTTTCAAATCGATATAGCGGGTCAAAATTAGTGGAAAACAACCCTGACATCATTTCCGAATGGCCATTTTAAGCAGAAACAAAAATAAAAAGATAATCTTATTTTTGGCTCTGGAAAATTTTCAAAATCTTGACATGGTCATGAACAATTGCCCATATCTTTGTTAAATTTCAAACAAATTGAAATTAATTATGCACCATTGAAAAGAGCATTAAATTTTTTATAAATCTGTGCAAAATTGATTATAGTAGCTCAAATAGTTTTTGAGCAATTGAGCCTCAAAGTTGACTTTTAGTCCGAATTTTGTCAAAAACTTTAAACTCAATTTTTTCAGAAACTATTAACCTGGGAATATTGCAAATTACAGGGTTTTTAGAGCTTAATACAAGCTACAAATGCTGAAAACTTCAATGCAATTTGCCCAATGATTACCGAGCAATTGAAGTTTGAGGATTTTTGGAATTAAAATTCAAATAAAGTAAATTGAGTTCTACTTATTTTCGAACCTCTGTGGGACGAGCGGAGCGAGTTCCGCAGCAATTAATTCAGTGTTCTGATATAAAAATGAAAAGTTTTTGAACTTATAAGTAAATATTCTGAGTTTAAAATATTTCAAAATGAAAGTTAGTAAGAGTTAAATATTTCATGAGTAAATTGAGTTCTACTCACTCACCCAATAATTCTATTTTGGGAAGTTTTTTAACTGTTTTCCAACCTAGTATATGCAGTATACTTTTATCACAAAAGCCAAAAATCCTGAGTTCATTTAGCAGCATCTCATGATTTACTTACACACTTCTTTTTTTCCAAAAATGTTATCATCTTCCTCTTCAATAACTCCTCAATGACCTGGACAGAGAAAGTAGTAGCAAAAAAGGATCAACATGCGCTGGTAAAAATATCCCCAAATGCAGTGTGAAAGCTTCGTTTAGAGAAGTGATAAGAGTTTCTAGAGAATAATCAATCCAACAATCCAAGTGTTTATTTTTGATTTGAATTTAGCATTAACCTGTATAAATCAAACTACATGGATAATTAAATTATTCTTATTTCCTTTTAGTTCCTCCAGAACGTGAAGTAATAAACAAAGAAAGGCGATCTGGTGCCTACAGATTGTCCGCCTACTATCTAGCCAAAATGGTTGGAGAGTTACCATTAACCATCACCCTTCCAGCTATTTATCATTTTATTTCATATCCTATGTTAGGTAAGTAATAACAAATATATATTTTTTTATAAACCTTTAACGTTTGAATTATTGCAGGATTTCATTCACCGTTAGTGTTCCTTACTCTATTAGGTTTCTTATTATTAAACACTGTTGTAGCTCAAAGTGTTGGATTTTTCATTGGAGCCTGTTGTATGGATATGCAGGTAAGAATTCTCCATAATCAATCAAGTTGAATTTACTTTAAATCAATTTTTTTTTATCCTTAGGTTAGCATAACCATGAGTGCCCTATACACTCTAGCCACTCAACTATTCGGAGGTTATTTAGCCACAAATATTCCTCCATGGTTGACGTGGATGAGATATACCTCAATGGTACACTACGCTTACCAAAATATGCAAATTGTTGAGTTCAGCGATGGTTTGCCGATACTGTGCGCGAAAAAATCTAAATTCGCTATTTGCCAAATGTCTGACTCTATACCGGTTACGTCGATACTAGAGGCCCAAGGGACTTACCTACCTTTGTGGGCCAACACGTTAGTTCTCTTAGGTTTCCTGTTCGTTTTTAGGTTGCTGGGCTATATGGTTCTCAGATACTTTAACACACCCAAATAATATTATTCTTTTTAACCTAAATTTAGCACTGGAAAACAAGAATTTAATATTATGCCAAAAAAAAAGAGAAAAATATAAGATCACTGATTTAATAATAATTATTATTGAATATTTTATTCTTAATGTTGATGAAATGTATAGACTGATTGTATTAGATTTTAAAATTTCAGAACAAAATCTCAAATAATTAATTTAAAAAAAAAATAGTTAGGTGCATATAGCCTTTTTCTATTAGGCAAAACGACTGCTTTTCTAATTTTTCAAAAAAACAGTTCTGCCACTTTTTTTTCCAGTGTTTAATCGTTTTTTTAATACCAAATTGTGATATCTACAATAGTTTTCTGAATAAGAACGCCACCGATAATTAATTAATCGATTAGTTATGTATTTATTCGATAATCAGGTAATTATTTCTTTTCACAGATAATAATTTGTAACGTTTCCTCCCGATATTTTTTGAGAATTTTATATGAATGCCTACATTACATTATTACATTACTACTACTACAGTTAAGTGAGTTATATTTTGGACAGTTTTTCTGCAAAACAAAAATAACCCATAATAGAAACATACACAGGCTGTGCTTAAGAGTAACTTTTTTCATAACTTTTAATTTTTTTTTTATATAATCATTATTATTACATTTAAGTGTTAGTTTTTAAGTGTAATCATTCCAGTTACGTTTTCAAAACTGATTTTGGATCAAAATAAGGCAAAAAGGAGTGGCTGCACCATGTGCCTTTTCAAAAACAAGTATTCTACGTGCCAATAAAAATTATTATTTTTTTCGTTAAAAATAAGCAACCAGCTATAGCTACTGCCAGACACTGAAAGGGAGAATTTCGTTTTTAAGGTTTTTAATCACTAAAAATTATGCGTGCACTGTGACTGAATTGTGTGATACCGTTGGTTTATAGTTTAGGAATGGTGCTAAAGATTTATTGGATTTGTGACGAAATAGAGCTCAGAATCTTTATTGTTTTAACGATATCAGAATGTCCATTTCGACTAAGCTGGATTTTGATGTTCATATTTTGATGTTATATTCCTATAATTACACTGAAATGTTATTCCGTAGCTCATGAAACAAAGCTATAAAGATCCTAAAGTAATAACTGATAAATCCCACTAATAGAAAATCATTTGGTGTCAGCTCTATTTTGTCTCAATACCAAAACAATCACTTGTGTTCTTTTGAAGAAAATTTATTAAACCTCTATTTTTTTTTCAATCAATCACTGTTCAGAAACCAATAAGACTGCTTCGTAATTTTTTCAAGCATCATTTTTTTTTCATTAATTTTCCCAATACTCATATACATAAAATATAATTCATTTACATCACCATGCATTTTTTTTTCTGTCATAATTATTAGATTAGTAATTAAGTTCATACCTGACGATGATGATTACCAATTAAGTGTTCCATCATATTTAGTCAAAGACAACCTACGGCCCCAAGAATTGTTGCAAGCTCACCAAAAAAAACACGGAACCTTGTACAGATATTTTTATTATTTATTTTTTATCAATTTGTGTTTTTTTGTGTGGGGAATAAAATTGGAGGGGCTCGTATGTAATATAACCATATACAGAATATGTTTTTTGCCTCTTTTTTTTTTGTTGTCTCTTTAATCTTATGTAAATATTTTATTTAGGTTTATCATTTATGTGTAAATACCAAATGGTGGGTCATCCGAATGCCTTTTTGGTGACCCACCAAGGATCCTATACGAAATTTTTCGGAAATTCTTCTCCTATTTATATCAAAATGTATCCCCTTTTTCGTATGTAATCTAGTAAGCACATTATTATATTTATGTAAGTATCTATAAATTTTAGGACAATAAATATTAAGAATAAGATCCGAATTTTAAAATCAGTGAGCGAAAAAAAATTGAATGTACACTGATTTTTCAATGCAAAAGGACTAAACTACAATATTGAATTTGTGTTTTTAGTTTTACCTTAAAAGAAGTCCAATAATAATTATCATGTGCATGTTCAATCATTATCAACATATATGATGAGTCTTGGCCTACTTTTCTCATATCTTCCTTGATGTTTCTCTATATCATCAGCAAAGATCATAATTTGATTTTTGTTTTCATTTGAGCGATTCTAATGATTTTTTTGAGAAAATTGTACAGAAGAGAGCCTGGAATTCTTATAAATATTTCTACAAGAAGCATAACATCTCTGTTAAAAATATGTCATAATAATTTTCTGCTCCTTCAACTTTATATGGATTGAGGAGTTTTTTAGAGTCTTGTCTCTAGTTAAGAACTTTTTTCTGTCACGTCAGCTCAAGGCAAAAAGCTCATTTTCTCATACTTTCATTGGTTTCTCAATGCTGACGTTGTCCTTTTCATCTGCATTTGAAATTATTTGTATTTTCTTTTAAGGTAAAATTTAAAAAATTAATTCTACCATAGTAAAATTTATTGTTAAAAAAACAAGTTTAGGCAATCTTTTATACACATTTTTTTTTTAGAACATTATATCGATGTTACTAGGTGTAAATCAAAAGAAAATTTTAATCAACTATTCGCTTTTTGATGTTCGAAATTTTACTGAAAATTATAATATTTGTAGTCCATCTAATAAATAAATAAAAAGACCAAACCTCGTACTGCCATTTTTTATATAAATAAATTTAAAAAATTCCTGTATTGTTTTTTTTTAATATTGAAATAAATGTTAATAAATATCGAAAAAAAAAAATGTATTCATATCATACTTTTTCTTTTCTTCCTTCCTTATATACCTTTTTTTAGATAATATTGAGTTATGTTATTTGTTCATTGTGTATATTTTAAAACAACCACAACCATCATATTATTATTATTGTACAGACAAAAAAAAAAATTAGAAACTCCTTGTATTTAACATGTTATTATGACTAGTCCTAGCATCAATCATTTTATTTAAAATTTTTAATAATTTAATATAAAATAAAAACATTTTGATTTTAAGTTTTTGTTTGTTTTATTTTTTCGTTGTAAGTAGGTTTATCTAAACCAAAACTATATTGACGTATAGAGAGAAAAAATGTAAGAAAATTTGTCAAAAAATTCAAATTTTTTCTATTCCCGGCTCTTGAGATTTCTTTTCGAGAAATTCAAAAGCAGGAAAAATTAAGAAATGAAAAAATCAAAACAAATTAAGACAAAATTGGTACCTATACAAAGTATTTTTGTTTACCTACTACTAACCTGAGAAATAGTCATTATTCAATCTATTTTTTTTAGGAAAAAATTGAATTTCTCTCCCTAATGCCCGATTGCACCATCTCTCTTAACTGAGGCTTAAAGATAACTATCCCTTAAATTGACAGTTTCGCATGGGAAAATGTCACTTTAAGGAATAGTTATCTCTAAGCCTCGGTTAAGAGAGACGGTGCAATCGGGCATAAGTTAATAATGAAAATAATGAAAAAATACCTAGGTCAATAATGAAAATGACGTCATGACGCAAGGATATTGTCATGTTTTTATTGGTTCAATTTCAATTTCATAGGTCAAATAAAAAAAAAATATATAGGTTTCTGTAGGTAGATAGGAAGTTATCATAAGCTGTTGATAGAGGGCACCACTTTCAAGAGGGCGTTCAAAAATAGTTATTTATGATATAAGTGCTAAAAGTGACATTTTATTTTGTGAAAAGGGAAGTTTGGGACACGACGCCAAAGGCGGAGTGTTCCATCCCTTTGAACAAAATAAAATCACTTTTAGCATGAATATCATACACTATTTTTTCTACAAACGCACTAAAAGTGATTACTTTTAGCACTAGTGCTAAAAGTAATCACTTTTAACACCAGTGTCATAAAATGGCATTTTAGACACTGACAGCATCCGTTAAAAATGACACTTTTAGTAACGTTTGTAGAAAAAAATAATTAGAGCACATATTACAAATTATTCATTTTCCACTAGCAGTAGTAAAAAAAATCTATATATTCCTCGGTAGAGAAAGTCATTATATATCTCACGCATTATAAACCTCAACTATTTTAGGGGAGCCCTAACGATAAGTATTTCCCTAAAATGACATTTTTACATGGGGAAATGTCAGTTTAAGGCTCCCCTAAAATAGTTGGTGGAAATGGCCCATATGAGATGGAAAAATTGAAAAATAAAGAATATATAAATATATACTTAAATAATAATAATATTAATGATAATACCTGAGTAAACATCAAAAAATTTGCAAAAATATGACAGCAGGGGCGTGGCTAACTTCTATATTCATATTCAAAATTTGCAAGAATATGGCGGCGGTACCGAATTTCTATTTGAAAAGGTAGGTGGGCCGGGGCCATTGGAAAGGGTTGAAATGGAAACAACCAATCAAATACCTTGACGATACATAAACCCCGGAAAGGGGCGGGACTCAACTAACCAATTAAATGCCCTGCTGATATCACTCGCATCTGATTGGAAAGGGGCGGGGCTTATATCCAACCTATCAAATGCTTTGTTGATATTCTCGCGTTTGATAACGATTCAGCCACAGTGTTGCCAGCTTGACGGAATTATCCCCTTTTTGCCTTTTTGAGGAAATTTTCTATTTTCGTTCGCAAAGGGTAGAAGCGGAAGTGGAATTTTTAAAGTCTGTTTTTTTTTCAGATAAAAGTCAAAATGACATTATGTTGGCAAAACAATGTTAAATTGTCGATGCTTTCAAATTTTTTATGTAGAGAAGGCTTGTGTTGCCAAATAGTTACTAAATTTTTGACTTGGGGAATTATATATCTTTAAAAAAAAAACAGACTTTACTTTTTCTTCTATTAAGTCGCAAAATTTTCATATTCAATGAAAAATTGGTAATTTTAAGTTTCTAGCACACGATATACAATAAGTATACAGGGTGGGCCATTGAACTTAAGACATTATTGAACTTTTTTTTTTCAAAAACGCGCCATTTTCGAGATATTGAAATGGAAATTCAAATGGACTACCCTGTATAAGTATGGGCACAACAACTCATTCCCGACTGTAAGTGAAGGCGCAATAATTGTTTTTTTCCACTACCGCGCGTAAAGTACTTACGTTACGCACCTTTTAGAAGACATAAAATGTCCCGCACCAGTGCGTAAAGTAGTTTTTTTACTACTAACCTGAGAAGTAGTCATTATTCCATCAATTTTTCTGGTAAAAAATTGAATTTCCCTCCTTAGGCTAATATTGAAAACAATGAAAAAATACCTAGGTCAATAATGAAAATGACGTCATGACGCAAGGATATTGTCGGTCATAACGTAACAGGTTTCTATTGGTTTAATTTCAGTGTCAAACTGTCAATTTTAAAAAAAGTAGGTTCCTATATATACATTATAGGGAATTACCGTAAGCTGTTGATAGAGGGTAGCACTTCCGACAAGAGAAAATAATTTCTTGGCACAGGTTTCAAACCTATTTTTTATTTTCTACTAGCAGTAGTAAAAAAAATTCTATATATCCCTCGGTGGAGGAAGTCATTATATACCTCACGCATTATAAACCTCGGCGCTTCGCGCCTCGGTTTATAAAAGCGCTCAGTATATAATGACCAACTTCTCTACCTAGGTACCTATATAACCCACATAACAAAATTGCATCCTTAGAATGTACTGAGAATGTTCTTTTTTTAGGAGGAATGTGCCTAGAATGTTCGCCAAAACCATTGCGAATGTCCTGAGAATGTTCTGAGAAAAGATTGTAGAAATACTGTTTGCAATACCCAAGAACTTCCTGGGAAATCCATTAGGATATTCCTAGAATATACCCATGAGATTCTTAATACATCCTGAAAAGAATATTCCTGTTTGATTCTAAAAATATGCTTGAAGTGTATATGCTCACATTCAAAGAATATTTCTATGACACTATTAGTCCGAGAGCCAGCGCCTAAAAAGTGCAAGAGTTTCATGAAAGCTGAAAATGTAATATAAGCTTGTATTTGTGATGTATATAACTATACTCGAGTCAGCAAGTGAGGTAGCGGGACAAGCTACGCCCACGCACCTTTGAATGTGTAAAAAATTAATCGCGATGAAAGAGTTTCATGACAGCTGAAAATTTCTCAATCCATTGTTTATTTGATAAAAAACATGACGGACATGGTCAGATAGCATTATGTTAAGACAACTAGAGTCAGCATGCCTATACAGGGTGGTCCATTTAACTTGAGACAGTCCAATATCTCGAAAACTCAATTTAAGCTGATAAAAAAGAACGAATAATTTTTTTTTCCTCCTCACAAAATCGAAAAGTAGAGAAAGGTTACCAAAAATACCTCAAAAAATATAACAATTGATCAAATTGACGACCGCCAACTTCAACACACTTGTTAATTCGCTGTAAAAAGCTTTCATGGCACCAAATTACAGTTTCTTCACTGACAGCTCTAAGCATTTCTTATGTGTTCCATCATATCATCCGGTGTTGCGGGAACCTCTTGATAAACTGTGTGTTTGATTTTTAAAGTGAATTGACGTGTGTTGAAGTTGGCGATCGTCATTTTGATCAATTGTTATAGTTTTTGAGGTATTTTTGGTAACCTTTCTCTACTGTTCGATTTTGTGAGGAAAAAACAAAACAAAATAATTATTAGTTCTTTTTTATCAGCTTAAATTGAAACCGGATCAAAAAATGCTTCAAGTAAAAATTACTTGTTTTTTTCTGTAGAATAAGATTCTGTAATAAAAAAATATATTTCCATTGAAAAAAAAGAGTTGACCTTGAAATAACCTTGAAAACGTTGTCAAGGTCAAAAATCAGTACCGCCATTTTGTTACCCACATGATACCATGTAACTTTTATTTGAACTTTTTTTCTGAAAAACGCACCGTTTTCGAGATATTAGACTGTCTCAAGTTAAATGGAGCACCCTGTATAGGCATGCTGACTCTAGTTGTCCTAACATAATGCTATCTGACCATGTCCGTCATGTTTTTTATCAAATAAACAATGGATTGAGAGATTTTCAGCTGTCATGAAACTCTTTTCATCGCGATTATTTTTTTACACATTCAAAGGTGCGTGGGCGTAGCTTGTCCCGCTACCTCACTTGCTGACTCGAGTATAGTTATATACATCACAAATACAAGCTTATATTATATTTTCAGCTTTCATGAAACTCTTGCACTTTTTTGGCGCTGGCTCTCCGACTATATGGTTATGTTCTCAAAAAAATATTATACCAATATGCTTGAAATATTCTTAGAATATATCTACATATATCATTCTCAATATGCATCCTAGACATAACATTTCAGTCCTTTTATATTAAAGGCAGTGAAAGAGTTGTTGGAAAATTTCTCTGGAAAACACAAGTGTTAAACCAAAGCTCCGGTGTCGTCGCGGTAAGCACGCCAACTGAGAGAAACAGTTTCCAAGGTGATTTAAACACAAGGCAAGACGTAGATCTGTAATAGCGCATGGCTCCCTCTCTTGGAAGTCCTACAAAGCAAAAGAAAAAGAACCTACCTATAATATTTTAAGTAGGTTCTAGATGGAGCATTATTGATTAATTGTTCAATTGAGATTTTTGAGTAGGTACTTTACATAATTAGGTGAACAATATGGAAATATTCTTATTATGGGTACCTACCTACATAAACTTCTCAGCACAACTTAGTAGGTATATTCTTGATACTTCATAAAGATATTAGCCGAAAGAACATTTTTTAGGGTACATTATAATAATGTTCGTATGACAATATTCAGGTAATGTTATATAAAGTAGGTTCTTAGCACAATCTTTCAGGTAGGTGCATAAAAGCAACATTCTTAGTACATAAATAGAACGTCCAAAAATGAATATTTCAATCGAAACAATCTTAGAATATTCAATAAACATTCGTGAAAGAACATTCCAAAAAGCACTTTGAGGGAATTTTCTG